AAAAAACGGAGGGTTACTTCTGGTAAAATAGATCATGAAATGTTGTCACTTAAGCTGTCAAAAGACGTAAGTAAGAGGAGCAAGGCAGAAAACAAAGGGAAAAAAAGGGAAAGGAAAGGAAAAGGAAAGCGCAGCTAAATGACAAGGATGTATTTTGAGTCTCTTTATCTATAGGGGAGTGGAGCAAAACGGACTGGGAAATAAAGGTACAGGAAGCAGGAGACCAGGATACGGGAAGCGGGAGGCTCTGACCTCCCGTGTCTCCTCCCTCCCTCCCTCCCTTCCCTCCCCCCGGCGCCACACTGATGTCCTTTTTTAATTTTTTCCGAACCATCCTGTTTTACTGGTTACACTAAATCGCAGTGTGGCAGTCCCTCAAAATAGATTGAGATGTTATATGGAGTGATTCTTAGAATAATGCTTATAATACAAGCTATTTCGTTGAGGACATTGAAAATGAAAGAAACCGTGCTGTCAAGTGGATATGTGAGGCGAATAAACAAAACGGTGAAATTGAGACTTGAAAGCAAATTTGAGACACCCGAAAAGTCATAATTTATTACCACAAAATTGTCAGTTGAAAATAATACTTGTTATAATGTTAAAAATAATCAAAACTCTATCTTATTAAGGGTTCGACCGGATTGTTATGTAGACACATTTTACTTAATGACTTGAAGGGTTTTTTCCTGAATCGTGACCATACAATTTTCTCACGGTAGACTGTCTCTTCGTGGCTACATATGTAGAGCGTAGTACGTTGACCAAGTTGCTTGAAACTTTATGCATTTGCACTACTTATCGTCTGTTTTCGATGACAGGTTCTTGAAGGTGAACCTACATGTAGTTCCCATTATTCAAATAAGGTAAAATGAGAGAATTAAACAGCTTTATATTGTATTTTTCTTCAAACAGTTAAGTGATTTCAAAAGCGAACGCGCTTTTTGTTAGTTCTAATTAATTTATTTTTGAAACAAGTCACTACTTTTATATGGAGGAACACTATCAGCGAAAAAGTAAAAGTTTTTTGAATGCATGCCTGAATTCTCTAATCCTGGCTGCATATACGAAAGGATTCCAAGCTGCGCTACTGAAGGCCAAGAAAATCCCCCATAACCAGTGGCGGTACACCTGAGTCTTGCCACAATAATCCTTGGTCGCCACATCAATACAAGAAAAGACAGCGTTTGGAAAAAACGTAACGAAAAATATACCTATGACAATCGCTGCCGTCCATGCGGCCTTCCTATTTCGCAGCATCTCGGCTGCTTCAGCGGGATTCAAGCAGCAGATCTTGGTTTTTTGTTCACTAGCTGATCGAAATATGTGAGCGTAACAGTAGATAATGATAGCAAAGGGTAGAACGAAAGTCAAGGCAAGACACACTATCCACAATATGGAGGCATTGTCATGAGCGTGAACGAACAGCGCGGAACAGGCGAACGCCAAGGAAGTGATCCAAATGAAGGTGACAACGCACCAACTGCGTCTTTTGGTCACAAGCTGTCTGTACCGGATAGCCAGTATAACGGCGATGAGCCTGTCGATGCTAATCGCACACAGAGTAAATGTTGATGTGACTAAACTTTGAATCCACAGAAAGTTCTCCATTTTGTAGACAACATTTGATTGGAACCACAAGTTCTCTACAGTTAATGCGATGTACGTTGGGTACACCAGCAAACCAACCAAGGCATCAGAAGTTGCCAGGGAGGCGATGAAGATGTTAGAAGCCCTTAATCTCAAGGAACGCACCTTGTATATAGATAACAAAATGATCGAGTTTCCGCCGAGAGCAATCACACTGGAAACAGCATTAAGAAAGATAAATATTACACGCCAGTCGTGTGATAAATTAGGAGAGCAAGAGTCAGTCAAGTTTCCTGCTTCGCTAACCATATTGACTTCCGCAGGTGGAATGACCATAATACAGGGATGAAGCCACTGCAAGAATAACTTTCCGTTTCCTTATGCCTCATAAAAAAAGAAACGTGCTCTTGAGGAAACCAAAATTAACTCTCTATGTAAGGTAATACCATTCGCTTTATCGTTCAGGTTCTGTCATTCACGTATGCTAATATGGTAGATTGGTGATAACGGCACTTGGAAAAGCGATGTTATA